GTTTTTCAAAATAATCTTATAATTAAAACAGGTTTTCTGAAGTGTATTTATTTCTTTAGTGATGTATAAGTCAATGCTACTTAGCTTGTATAATATTACATTACTGTCTATTTTGACTGGTACCAGTAGGCTAGCAGATAAGATAGCTGAACATTGGATGTTTGATCCAGGTACAAATACTGGTGAATGGGATAGCTGATTTTCCTTATGTATTATGTGAATACAAGTCAATTTCTCATAGAAATACCTTCTCAAAGGCATCCTTTACCTAAGGTACATAGCTCTTACTGTAGTTACCTTGTTTTGTGTAACTTAGCATAGCCGTCAAAACCTTAATAATTTTAATACAAAATAACAAAAAAAATTTTTTTTGCTACCATATTACCATAACAAGTTTCACAGGATGCACTAAACTGTGTCAACCATGTGTATGTGCATATAACAATTCTTCAGTTTTTAATAAGCAGCATCACCATTTTTGTATGTTTTTTTTTTTTTTTTTTTTGTGTGTGTGTGTGTGTGTGTGTATTTATCCAAGTTACAATGATTTTTATAACTCATTTTTATTTTTATAACAAATCATTTATAAACAAATCATACTTTTTTAAATGTGAAATTAATTTTAAAATATGCACTTGTGGAATTTGTCTGCAATGGATGAAATAGTGGTGTGAATAAAATTCTGAAAAATAAAGCTGTATCAAATTATAAAGTTACAGAAGAATGGAATTTGCTATGTTAGTTGAATTTAAATTACCCGGAATCTTTCTCCCTTCGCTGTTGCTATACCACCAAAAGAAAGCCAATTATGAACAGCATCCTGCAAACAAAAACTTGCTTGTAACAAGGTTTATTGATTGATTGGTACAGACTTTAATGGCATATTTGTTACCAAATGAATCTAAAGCAAACCAGTATGAAGGGTAGTTTTACAGGTTAACTTGTTTTCAAATTAGCAACTCTGTAAAAGGGATCATCCAGCTGTACTGACACTACATGTTCTTTCTCATAGCTTGTTATTTGGTTGTAACAGGCAGTTAAGATAAAAACACTTGTAACACTGCTTAATTTTTATGTATGGTAGCCCAGTTACATGACTATAACATTTTTCCACTACTTTTTTTACACTGTAATCTTGGTTTAGAAAGTTATTTACCAAGATTTTGGGATGTTGTATAGGAATATCATATGGAACAACTACAGCCAAATGTATTGTTTCAGAAGAGAGTATATACTCTTACTGAATCTTTTCCTGCACTTATTGTTTGATTTGATATTTCCTGTATAGTGGAATGACCATCATGACAACATAGCGTCCTGTAGCTCTTTCTATATAATTCCATTCAGATATTCACACTTTTATTTTTGTAAGTTAATGCAGAAGACAATACATATTTACATCTATTTCTGATACTTCCAATTTTAAGGAATAATCATGGAGTCTATACTGTTACATAGAAGATGCTAAAAAAAAAAAAATACTTAACAGGGAGTTTAACATTATTCATGCAACAAAGGAGCTGAAGGTTTATTGCATTTTTAACAATATGTTAAAACTCATACAAGCATTTATTTCTTTTATTATAGATGTAAATCAATGACCAGTTCCTAAAGTATTGAAAGATAAAAGTCAAGGAAAAAATTCTCAGTTCATAGTGCCAAAGTATTTTGTTAATATTGATAAAATTCAATTAAAAAAAGATTACTCATGTTATGTGTAGAATTGATGCTAAAATTCTATATTAGAAACAAGTATCGATTAATTGTGTTAGGTAGAATTAATAAACAGTCGGGCGGAAATTTATTAAATGCATAAAACATAACAAAAGCCAGGGCTGTATTTATTCCTCCATTTAAAAAATTGTGGCTTTTCTATCCAACTGTCTTCAAATCTGTAAATTCAGAAAAAAAAAAACTCTAAAATTGTAATTTTTTAGAGAGAAGCATTTCCATCCTCAAAAAAAAATAAATGTTAAAAAAGAATTGAAATACAAAATTTGTGCATTTTATGCAGAAAGTGAAAAGAAAATCATTATTTCATTATAATGTTAATCATAAAAACAGATCTGCTTAATATTTTTTGTAACAAAACAACTAAAGAAAATATTTTTATTCTATTGCATGTCCAGTGATATTAAAAATAGTTTTAAATTTTGATTTTAACTTGAAGATGCCCCAGAGGAGTTGCACAATATCTAAAATTTCTCTGAAACTTAGTTTGAAGGTTTTCAAACTACTTGAAAACTTCAAATTATGTGAAAAAAGAAATGTAGATGTAAAAGGTTTTAATGACCAAAATATTTTCATTCCATCAGCTTATTTGTTTATTTTAAAGAAGACATTGTAGAGACATTAGGATTTTTTTGGAAGCTGAGAGACGTGAAAAACGAGCTATGTCCTCTCCGCGACTAGAACCATGGACCTCTCGAATATGTGCCGAGGCATGCTACGAAGGCAGGAGAAATACCTTATAAAACAATCTGATAATGAGATAACAAGTAGAAGATAAGAATTTTTTTCTTCTGGAAAATTAAAAAAAAAAAAAAAATTCATATTGCATATATACAAGCCTATACCATAAATTATAAGTATATAAAATTCTTGGATTATCTAATGGGGGGGAAGTAATAAATGTAAATATTAATATATAAGAAGTAATAAATGTAAATATTTCAATAAATGAATAGATAAAAAATGGCCTTAAACAACCTCATGTTTAAATTACTAGAAATGGAGAAATTAATGCCAACAAAAACATTATTATTGAAACAAATGTAGATAATAAACACAAATTGCCTAATGTATTTAATTTTGAATATCTGAATCACAGAATTTTCAAATAGAAAGGTTTCATTGAATAATGACCGGGTAAAAGATAAGTTATTATGATGGAATTAGCCTTTGGGTATCGGAAATGGACATGTAGTTGAAGAACGAAAGCTTGCTTTAAATTACAGAGATTTCTAATACATTAATTTAATATATTTTTAAAATATTTTAATAATATAATACTTTTCTAATACATTTATTTTATTATCCAAAATTATTTTCTAATTAACAGAAAGGTACGGCGTAAGTTTCAGTGATTAATTATCAGAAAGGCTTCTTCTGAATGGTTTAATAATAATAATACAAGGAAATAAGCTTATTTTACACATGCCTTATGGCATAAGAAAAGGAACTTTTGAAATATATTAAAAACTAAAAAGATTTACATATACCATAGAAATGATTTTTAACTCTAAACAAAATTACTGGTTATCGTTTCGGAAACAAAATTCAATACTTGCCCATAGTAAGACCAACTTGTGAAAGTTTTTTTGCCAAACTGCAAATCATTGTGTAAGGAAGAAAATTTCCAAAAGCCATTTTGAAATTTTTAATAATATGACTAATAATCACAAGATACTACTTTTTGATCCATAACATGGGATGTTTGAACTAACTAAGAAAAAAACTTTAAATTGCATCAGTATTATAACGAGCTAATAAATTTTAAATCACACAAAATACAGTGAACCATATGTAAGACAGCCAGACACAGCTGCTATAAAAATATTTCTACGGAAGTGGTTGTCTTAGGGAGGGGATAATTGATGCCAATGTTGTTAAATTACCACTTTTGTCGTTCTGGTACAGTTTTCTGTCTACACATTTTGAATCTGAAATAATGCATTCAGCACGGCATGCACACTGGGTGTAAGGAAAAGAGAAGCAACAGAAAGAAACTGGAGAGTATGGTTAAATGATAAAAACCAAATCCTTAATACCACTATTGACAGAAAGAGACCAAAATGCAAATAAGAAGCAAATTTCCTTAAAAGCTAACAATGAAGAGGGATTAAAATTAGAATCAATGGTTAAAACCATGGGATTTTTATTGATATAAAACATCAAATGCCAAATGAAGTGGTGTCTCCCCCCCCCCCCAGTATAATTTTTCGATGTGGAGAAATGGAAAACATGATTTTTTTTAACTAGCAATCGTAGGCAATGCAGAATTTATTAATTTCTTTTCTTTGAACATAATTTTGTGTTGTTCACACAGTTGTTCAGTACAAAATTTAGGTCACGCATCTCTGCTGTTTGGGGGAAACTTAAAAAAGAACTCTGTGAACATAATTAAAAAAAAAAAAAAAAATACGGGTCACTAAAATAAATAAAAATTCAGATTCTTTTCTTGTGTTCTAACATATGTAATTATTACTTCAGTAGATTCTAATATTTATTTTATAATCATGCATTATTACTACTTAGGCAACAATACAGACATATATAAATTTTCACTATTTTTTACTGTCATTACATGCACAATTGCTGTTTTTTATTAACAAGAGAATTGAACAAAGCATATCAATACTTTTGTATCAGTAATATGAGTAAGTTTCTGTTTATTAAGACTTTTTAAAGTTCTCAAGATGAATTAATTCGAATAATGGAAATAATTGACTGTAGCATAGAGATTTATTCATATTGCGTCCACTCTCGTATACAGCAAGAAAAAAAAAATTAAATATGAAGAGCAGTCCTTATCAATTCCGCAAGATTTTCCATATACAATCTTACCACAATTCCACATAAAACGTAAACAAAGTATCGAAGCTTCGTAATCGATTACAAAGCGCAAAGTTATCAGCTATTCGTCATCGATGGGAAAGGACAGTCTGGGCCATCCGAAAAAGCGGCGACCTATAAGAAAGCGAAAGCGCTTCAACTTAATGACGATCTTCGACGATTAAGATTGTCGCTTATGTTTTTCGGCCTTAGTGTAGAATTGGGTGACCGTTTTTTCATGTATGGGAGAAACCTCATACCTAAGAAGTATATAACACGTAAGGAGTGTTGTAAAAGAGAAAATGCATAACAACACTGGAGAGAAGCATTGTATTTGAAGAACATGACAAGTCATTAGAACATAATATTTGTTTCAACAAACGTATGCTTATCCATACCACAAAGAAACCTTGTATGTGATGCATGAAAATATTTACACAAAATAATTTAAACAAGTATAAACTTACTTACCTGTGGAAGAAACATATGTGGGGGAGAGGAAAAAAAATAACATTCAGACAAAAAAGGTATGTTAAACAAACATATGCTTACTCACGTGGTAGAGAAACCTTATATATGTGAGTTATGCAACAAGTCATTTAGAAGAAAGGGTCATTTAAATGAGCATATGGTTATTCACACAGGAGAGAAACTTCACATGTGTGAGGTATGTAAAAAGTCATTTAGACGAAGGGGAGATTTCAACAAGCATATACTTATCCATACAGGGGAGAAGCCTCATATCTGCGAGGTATGCAGCAAATCATTTCGACAACACAATGCTTTATACAAGCATATGCATATTCACTCAGGAGAGAAACCTCATTTGTGTGAAGTATGTAATGTGTCCTTTAGACAAAAGAGTGATTTAAGCAAGCATATACTTATTCACACAGGAGAGAAACCTTATGTGTGTGAGGTATGTAGCAAGCCATTTAGAAAAAAGGATCATTTAAATGAGCATATGCTTATTCACACAGACGAGAAACCTCATGTTTGTCAGATATGTACCAGAACATTTAGACGGAAGCATGATTTAAATGAGCATATGCTGATCCATACAGCAGAAAAACCTCATGCATGTGAGGTATGTAACATGTCATTTAGACAGAAGAGTGCTTTAAATAGGCATTTGCTCATTCACTCAGGAGTGAAATGTCATGTGTGTGAAGTATGTCACAAGACATTTAGACAAAAGCGTGATTTGAATGAGCATCTGCTGATTCACACAGGGGAGAAACCTCGTACATGTGAAGTGTGTAACAAGTCATTTAGACAAAAGAGTACTTTAAACACGCATATGCGTATTCACACAAGGTAGATATTCTCTTAATTTTACATGTAGAAAATCACTTGGATGAAAAAGAATTTGAGAAAAAAAGCTTATCTATACAGAATAGATCCTCTTCTCTTCAGTAAGAATTTGTTATGTGCCAAACAGAACTCGTCATATAAGGTGTTTGTAACATTTAATTTTGTCTAAATTCTTAATAAATCATTAATTTTCCTTGAGAAAACCTCTTTTTGCAAGATAAAATGTAAATCATATTAAATCTATTGCTAATTTAAACCAGCATTTGCTTATTCTGGGTATTTAGAAGAAAAAGAAATGTGCAAAGCAGCATATTCCTAGACTGATAAAAAGATTGAGCTGATTCTTGTATTGAATGATCAGAAAAGTCTCTGCATCTAGCATTCTCCGATTCCCAAATTTGACTCTTTCATATGAATTGCACTTTTAACATCATTTTGTAAAAACTACAAAGTATGAAATATATTCTCTAATGACATTACGAGCACTACAGGATGATATTTCTGTTATACTTTAAGAACTGAATCTCTCATGTAACTCCAGAAACCAGATATAGCAAAGTTCATGTTATGAGCACTGCAGCCTGATGTCTAGAAGTTCAGTAAAGGATTGTACTACCAATTCTATACTTATAGCATGTGGCTTGTTTTGCCTTGGTGCAAAACTGAAGCTTCATGAGTAATAAATTCCCCCCTCCCTACTCATTACTTCTTGGAAATGTTATAAATTTCTTTTTACTTGATAGTTGCTATTCATTTTCTACCTTTGGGTTTTTAGCGTTAAACTCCTGCCGGTTTATTATTTACCTCCTGTCAGAATGTGCTATGTAGATCAGAAACTGTTATAGTTCTGAAATTTGAAACAGTGCAAAAACTTCATAGTATTTTTTGTTAAACTGGGTTCTTTCTGAGTTCAATACAGGATGCAGTCACAGCTGTGACATGGAATCATTCCTCTCCTCCCATTGCAGAATGCATTAGATATGTACTTTCAAATATTGACTCATTGGTCATTGCTATCCAACTTCAAATTCAAACACATGACTTTCACAAAAAATAATTAGTGTTACCACATCTAATGTTAAAAAAAGATAAATACAGGCCATTTCAAATTCAATCAATTCTTACATTTATTCTAACTGTAGAGGAAATCCCACATATGGAAAAATGAATCACTTGGAAAACATCTTTCCCATGAGAAACCCACCTACACTAAATGTTTGTTAAAAAATTTTTATATGTATATAGAAAGAAGAAACATGATTTTTACTTTCCATGGTCACACATGTATTCTATAAGCATTTCTGCACCGAGGAAATATCTAAATTTAACTTACAGCCCTTGCTTTGTTTTCATCATTTGTGCAAATTAACATTATGAGAAAGAGACATAAAAACATTTTGAGTCATAAAAGGATTTTATGTAAATATTATATTTCCTTTTACTACGTAGCATTAGAGATAAATGAAAGTTAAGATAGATTTGTCACATTAGTATGATTTTTGGAAATTAGCCCTTTGCAATAACCCCCCTAAAAGGTAATTTGGTAACTCCATTGACCTTGCAGATGTCGTAGTAGAAATTACTTGGAGGGCACAGAGTTAGTAAAGAAAACGTATTATTTTCGAGATATTTCAATATATATTTGTTTATATTTTCGAATTATACTGAAGAGAAGTTCGTAAAAGAGGCCTTTCACAGAAATAGCACCTTTGCAACATCATATTCGAATTTTATTTCATAGGATTCATTGAAGCAGTATTCAATGAATCCTATGAAAAAAAACATGGATATTTGAAATGGAGGCAAAATACTAGTATGTATAATAGAGTAAATTTTTCTATTTAAAAAAGTTTACAGATGAAGCTAGTCACAAAATGATAGGTAAATATTAATTAAGTAATTTCTTGCTCCTGTTAGTTGTGTGCACTGATTGGTACTTGCATACTAAGAAAAAAATACAGGAAAAAGGAACTACAAAATAAATGTGTTTACAAGTAGCATCTTGAAGCCACTTATAAATATTACTGTGTGTGACAGAAGTATGCACAGATATTGATACGAGCATTTAATTATGTAGTTTTGTCTGCCAGATAAGAATAATTGCAAGAATATACATGCTACATAGCTGCCAACTTCCCAGTTTTCCTCAGAAATTGTTTTTAATTTTTCAACTTTGCTAAAGAAAAGGTTTCCTAGTAGTAAATGAAATTTAATGAATTAACGAAACTTGAATTGTTCAAATTCTATTTCCCACTCATAGATATTCAACATAATTTTTCTTATTAAATTTATTTGATACAAAGTGTCTTAATTCATTACAAACATTTGTAGAATTTTGTTCAGTGAATGTTTATTTAAATCAATGTATAACATATTACTAAGTTTATGTGCACAAAAATAAATACATGAAATCATTAGTTAATATGCTTTATAATAAGTACATTATTTTGAATTAAAAAATACATTTATTATTCATTTTTTAGTTAGTATTCTATTTAGTAATTAATTTCCCGGCTGAGGATTTTCTTGGTGTAAAAAGTGAGAAAATTACTACAGGAAATTAGTCAAAGAACATAAAATTAAAAATATATAATTCTTTTCATTTTATAAGAATCATTATGTTCATTGGTTTACGTGTTATCAGAACCACCTTAGTAGAAATTACTAAATTTTGGGTATACACCAAACTCTGGTAACTACACATATAACAATTATTCAGGCAACTGTGTGCATGACAAATATTTAGTTTTCCTTGTTGCCATTTTCAAATGTGTTCCTTTTGTTATATTCTAGTTCTGACATCTTTTATAGAAAAATTATAATTATTTTTTGAGGCACTCACTTATTTCTTTTTTCAATTTAAAAATTTCTGCTTATAGGATTTTTCTGTAATGGAAGAAAAAGAGGTGAAATTTCTGAAAGAGTGCAATATTTTTACGTTTATATATACAATACTTTGAATTCTTTCTCAGAGCATCCATTGCAAAATTTCGAGCACAACAACAATAAAAGCCCATCTGTAACTATGTTTACTGATTGTTTTTTGGAATGAATATGTAATTAAAACATAGAAGTTAAACCATACATAATTTGTTAAAATAAAAGTAATTGTTCTTTTTCTTACATAAAATTTGCCAAACTGTGCCAAGGTAGTTGCAATAATATGTAAGTTATAGTAACCTGAATTCTTTATTATAAAGTGAATTTAAGTCATCTTGGAGTTTCTTGAATTGCCGTTACCATATAGTGTGAAAAATTATCTTGAAACTCTTGTTTTTTTTGCAAGAGAATCCACCCCTTTTTTTTTTTTTTTTTTTCCTTAAATATTTCAAGGTTGCCAGCTATGATGATATGCTGTTTGTATGGTACTCCTTTCTTTAAAGTAGGTTGTCTCAAAGCAAAATTTCTTACCCTTTTTCTTTCTAGTTCCTGAATACACATTTTTCTCCTTCATTTATTGTTGGCAGTTTGTGTGAATGAAAAATGATGAAATATTATTTTAGTAAATTATTAAATTATTTTAGAAAAAGTATAATTTTGAAGTAACAGGTGTTTACTAAATATCAAATAGTTGCTTGAGATTTAAGGGTAACATATTCAAATAGCTGAATAAAAATTAAAGAGTCCAAGGTGCACTGGAAAGTAATGTAATTTTTTTTACTTTAAGTTCAAGCATATAAATTTTTAATCAGTGATGTAATCACCCTTGTTGTGATCTAGTGTGTAAATTTTCAATCCTGGATTGATAAAAATCAATTATTTTTTAAGCAAAATATTTAGAGATGGCATTTTGGATGTCATCCAAATATTAAAATTTTTTCTCACTTAGAAAATGTCGTAACAATCGGTATGAATGGAAATTCTATGGTAAAATGTGAGGCAAGCATGGTGGGTGAGGCAACACCTCCCACTCCGATTCCTTAATTTTTTCCGGGGTTTGTCTTGTGCAGTGCAGTCTTGCATTATCGTATTGCAGAATAACGCATATTTCCAGTTGATGATAACTGAACACTTTTCAATTGAAGTTTAGTTTAATTGATCTATTTGTTCACAATAAAGTCTGCATTCACAGTTTGTCCAAGTTTCAGTGTTTCAAAGTGAATGATCCTCCAAATACTTCACCAAACACACAAAATCATCTTTTTGGTATGTAAACCTGGCTTAGCAGTACTTAGTGGCAACTGATTTGGAGACAGGCACTAAATTTTGTGTTTTGGATTGTCACAGAGGACACATTTTCTCATCTCCAGTAATCAAGCGATCAAAAAGAAATTCTGTACTTTGGTGTTGAAGCAATAACTTGCATGCTGTGGATCAGTTAAATTTGATTTCTGCAGACAGACCATACGAGACCGAAACACCTGTTCTATTTACTTTACCAATCTACTGTAAATGTTCTTGAATGGTCAATCAAGATTGGTGAAGGATGTTGGACATTTTCTGGATTGTCAGAACCAGATTTACTTCCATTTCTTCCCTTAGCATATCATTGTCTAAAGTTGTTTCTCTTCCTAAACAATACTAGTCAGGAAGATCAAAATTACTGGATCTAAACTTAGAAAACCACTTCAGGCATTTACAAACATTTAATGTATTTGGATAAGCATCACAAATGTTTTTGACAGCAACTGTTAAGTTACTACCCTTGTGAAACTTAAAAGCATACAATGCCAGATATGTATCTCTTCTGATATTCAACTGACCATTTCACCCAAAATTTAAAGAAAAAAATGTTAAGATTTAATTATTTACAAGTCACTTTAAAATATTTTTGGCATCACTTTGGAGTACATAATGAGCTGATAAATGGTAAACAAATACTGACATGTGCAGAAATGGCATTACTTTCTGGTGTATTTACACTTATATATTATAATTTAGAAGTCTTGTTAATCATGATATTATGAGTGATTTATGTACCATTTAAATATTTTTACTACTCCTAATTGTTACATTCATAAACTGATACAAAATTGTACTAAACACAGAAGTGTACTAGAAAT